ATTAGGACATTTTCATGTGCATTAATGAAAGGGCCCCGAAAATGTAAAGGAATTCATTGGATGGATATGCTTGTTTCAAAGGGTGGTACCCTTCGAAACGAGCAAGATTGTTTCTATTAATCAAAGTCGTTATCAAATTGCATACGTTTGCCAATATTTTGAAAAGTCAAAAGTTATATTTAAGATTAAAAATTTATTTTTAAACTCTTTTCACTTATTTTTTGAATATATTTTATTTAGTTAGAGGAGTTTATAGAAAAAGTTAATTTAAAGATAACTTTCTCAAAAAATTATTCTATAAAATAGAAGTAGAAGCCTGCCAAACAGGCACATTGTCATCATCAATATATTATGCCCCCTGTTTGGCAGGAATTAAAATCGAATTTGTAGTAGATTTTAGTAAAAGTTGATAAAATGTGTAGTTAAAAAGTTGTAAACCTCATAAAATATGTAGTTAAAATTGATTGTTGACTTAAATTAAAATTAAAATTTAGATTTTAACTAGTACCAAATAGGGCTATATATTGTTCGACTTGAAATTTACTCTTAATATTCATTTGCAAGGTGATGAACGCTTGAATATCAGATCGAATTGCTTGTTTGAATTTAATGAAATATTATATCATATTAAATGATTGTTTGGATTTCATTATAATCAGATTATAGCAAATAAGGGTACGGTACCACATAAAAATATGTGAATAATAAGTTGATAGTAGTGAATGTAAAACTCAAGTAAACACTAAGACTTGTGATCCATAATAAAATATCAATCTTATTAAAAGTCTTTTAGACATGACTTTTGTTTTTGCTTTCGAGTTTTTTTAGATAGCTGCCTAAATATTTGTTTGGAAACTACTTTCTAATAGAGATTCTTATTCCGAAAGTGCATTTAAAGGAAATCACATTATACCAGTTTTCTTTAAAAATTCTTCTAGTTATAAAAAACACTTTCATAAAATTAGCTAAACGGATCCAAAAACAGCCTCTGAATCTCAAGAGCTCAGTTTGACTTCTAAAAGTCAGGTCAAATGGACCCCTAAGATGACTAACACAACCTCTTTTGTGGTTATTAATTTGCCCTTAACACCAAAAGGATTCCAAACATGTCCTTAATAAGAAGAGTAACTGGAGCTCTTGTATGTTGTTTATTAATTTGTCCTTAACTCCAAAAACGCTCCAAACACGCCCTTATGGAATGTTCATAATTGTTGCAGCATCCTGTGCATCTGTGTGTGTGTGTGTTTTGTTTCCAACTTTGAATCTGTGTTGTCGATTTCAAATTTCTGTATCAATTCTGTAAAAAATTTCTGTACTTGTAGATTAACTCTTCTGATTGAGATATGCCCATACTCTTAATTTTAAGTGGGCTCCGTTTGGCTACATCATCGACAGCTATCTCCTTGTTGGACTGCCAGGCTACATCCTAATTTGCCGACTTCGACCTTTCAAACCCGGTCCAATGTTTAATTTGTGAGAAATCGAGAAATTATTTAATGCACCCTCTTTTATGTACAGGTTGGATTTATTTTATTTTATTTTTTCCTTTAAAAGTTGACATAAATATTTTATATAAATGGTTGGCAATTGTAGGTGCTCTTAAATCTATTTTTACAGCTTGAAATCATTTGTGTCAAATTCGCGTATAAGTTCACTTGTAAACACTTTAGTCGTCGCGTGCATCAATCGCTAGCTCCATCGCCAATGGAACAAATGACAATAAGCCCCTACGTAGAAATTATAATCTGAATCAAAGTAAATATTTAATTTTAACCACATATTTCAAGGGATCTCAACTTTTTAATCGTACATTCATACAATAAAATATTATACATGTAAATTCAAAAATTTTCTTACTTTTTAACCACACATTCTTTGAAAATTCACTATTCAAAACAATATTTTTCCCAAAAAAATAACCACCAAACATGGGCTTAGTAAAATTCTAATTTTGATTTGCAATATGTAGATATATAGCCCTTGTTTGATTCTCATTTTGGAGAAAAAATAAATTTTGGAATAGTATTACTTGAAGAATGTGTGGTTAAAAAAATGTGTAGTTGGCAGATTTTGATAAAAGTTGATGAAATGTATAGTTAAAATTAATTATTGATTTTGACATTTTAATCAGATTTTTTAATGGTATAACAAAATAGATATGATTAGTGGTTTGCTTACAAGCACGGTGATCAGTGGATTAATCATTACCAAAATGTTAATTCAAGTTATCATTATTAAGTCTCATTTGATTTTGATAAAAATCCAGATTTTAATAAATTTTGATGAATATTAATAAAATATATGGTTAAAAAATTGATAGAAGTTGTGAACCTATAAAAAGTGTAATTAAAATTAATTGTCAACTCTGAGTTAAATTTTATCAAT